TAACCACATCAAACATAATAATTTGTATTCAAGAATGAAAGAGATATTTATAATTGAGTAAAAGGCACATACAATGAAACAAAAAAGAATAATTAAATATACAGTGCTGTGAAAAAAAGTCAGAGAACACCCCAGACTTTTTTTCATTTGCAATCAAAACGGCCATTAAGTACAGGTTATTCATTTTTTATGAGATATTTCTGAGGACAAACCAAACTGATTAAAAGCTACAGAGAAAATGGGACTCCTAACAACCACCTGGAAGACCTGGTAGACACCAAAACTGCCCCCATCAGATAAACAGCACTTAAAGCTTTCATCTTTGAGAGAGAGGAGAAAATCAAGCTGCTTCAGATCTGAAAACATCCACAGGTGTTACTGTCCATCCTTCCACTGTGAGAGGACGACTCAGCGCTATGGGTCTGAAAGGATGTGTAGCTGTTCAAGAAGAACCTCACTGAGAAAAGGAGACGGACACATCAAATAAAGAAGCTGAACGATGGACTGACCACCCCAGAGTCCAGACCTCAACACCACTGAATGTGTTTGATTACTTCAGAAAATGATCAACCAACTTCTAAGACTGAACTGGAGGTGTGTCTGTAAAAATATGCCTGCAGATTTCTGTGAGAAACTGAAAGCGAGTCTCTTGAAGACAAAGAGTGGACACACTGAACATGGAAAAAAATAAAATGTATATTTAGTTATTGAGGCTTCTGTTATTTTCAGTTAAAGGAAACTGACTTTACTTTAAATTACAAAAAACAAACAAACTTGTGTTTAATGGTTATTTTTACTAGAAATTAAATAAAAGGAGGGTCTCTGAGTTTTACACAGTACTGTATAAGTTATACATGAAATAAACTAAGTATACTCATTCCAGAGCTATATGCAAATAAGCTTCCTTGTAAAATCCCTTGGCCATTTGATTTCAGTATATTCGATATGTCGCTGCTGTCGGAAGAAAACCTTGTATCTCCACTTTTTGTCGTTTTTCAGTTTTTGACATAATTTGAAAATGTCTGTTGCCCTTTACATTGTCTGTGAATTTCATGAAGAATGGACCAACAGAAACGGCCCAAAATAACCCAAAATAAATTCTGGTTCCATTGACTTACATTAAAAGTAAAGTAGGTTTTTTCCTTCTCCTGTAAAGTTACCATTTTGGAGATACGAGGTTTTATTCTGACAACAGCGAGATGCATTTGCAGTACAGTAATAAACATTCATCAGTCTCCCAATGTTGACAGTGTCAGCAGAGTCCTGTATTTATTTAGTACTGATAAGAACCTTTGCCTCTGCTTTTCTCAACCCCCTACATTTTTAGGACATTACTTTCCCATCATATTCACAACCTCATTGCCTAAAAACATCTTGATGTATTTTCTGCACAAGATTTGGATTGTCCTGACTGGGTATTCTTGAGGACAGATAAAGGATCAGAGCATATTGTGTTAAAGAAATGCTTTTGAAATGTTAGTTTAGGTCATTAGTTCTTCAGGTACAATGCATGCATAATATTACACTTCCACAGTGGAATGAAAAATTTGGGCCAAAATGAAAAGTAAAACCTATGTTACATTGTTTTCATGTCGCTTGACCTCTTTATTGAAAACCAACACATGAGGATTTGAATTTACAAAACAAAATGCTCTATTTGTGTCAGAATTTAAAACAATCTGCCTTGAAATGTGATCAAGGCACAGCTTTCATGCTTTTCACCATGCACTACTCTAACATAACTCACTGAAATGCAATAATAACAGTACAAACAGTGAAATACTGCATACATGAGATTTTGTTTAACAATGATGTGGAAAGCGATAATAACAAAATGAAAAGCAAAAGATCTGTTAGCTCGATTTAATGTTGTTTGAAGTACCGCACATTGGGAAGCATTAGCTGTGCATTAATTGCATTTCACTGTGAATTGCACACACAAATTCAGCATTTAGTTTTTTTAATTCAAATCTTCAGGCATTGTTTTCCATTAAGGAGGTCACACAATATGAAAACAAGAGGTTTTGCTTTTCAGTTTGCAATGCATTCCACATGTCACCATGGAAAAGTAATGCCATGTGTACACTGGATTTCTCATTTCTTCATCTTCTAAGCCGCTTATCCTTCTGGGTCACGGGGGGAGCTGGAGCCCATCCCAGCAGTCATTTGGTGAAAGGCAGGATACACCCTGGAAAGGTCACCAGTGTAAAGGGCAACAGGCATTTTCAAATTATGTCAAAAACTGAAAAACGACAAAAATGGAGATATAGGTTTTCGTCCGACAGCAGCGACATGCTGCCGGAGTTATGTGTTTTGAACAATCTGTAATAATGTATAGGAAACCAAATTGGCCTTGTGATATATGTTTTCGTACAGCTTCCTCCATCAAACAGTCTTCTGTTGAAAACAGCTTTTCATGCAGTATTAAATGAGTTACAGGGAATGGAAAGAACCAAAGCACAATCACTGTCCTTTACCAATACCATCTCGCAATGAACATTGTAATTGTGAGGTGGGTTGGTGCACTGGGTGGGTGTGGTGAGTTGGTGCACTTTGTGCCCTCGTAAACAAATTCACAAAGGCCTTAAATACATCTTACATACGGCTACAGAGTAATATTTAATTGCACTGCAGCATGGGACTCATTACTTTGTGATGTCTGTATCAACTCTTTTAACGCACTGAGAAGAATCAAGTGAGAAGAGACTTTCAGAGTGAAGAGACACAAGTGCGTTCTACATCATACTTTATTGTAGCGGTGTCTTTGGCCTATGGACATTTATTACAAGATTATTGATATAAATGATTTTATACAAACAAGGAAAAAATGAACATGTTCATGCAGTAATTACAGTGGAGAACTACAACAAAAACAAGCCTAAAAAGTAAGAGATGATTTGCCCATGATTTACCCTTACTGGTTAATGTAAAAGAGATAATTATGTAACTGTCATTATGTCTTTCCATCAAATGTAAAGCAAATTAAAAAGAAGAAAGTCTTTAAAAAAAAGAAAAAAGTTTACCTAGTTAAGATTTTAAAGTTAAATATACATATAATATCACACATTGATCAGTACTCTAAACTTGACAGTAATCTGCCAGTACTTTTATTTCAATAAGTAAGATATGGCCAGACATGAATCTTGTTTTTCTGATGATTGTTGCTTGTATCATGCTCAGGTGAGAGAACTTGTTTTGTTTTTTTCAGGTTCCCAAATGCAAATTTTGCTAATATTGTCTGCATGTTTTTGTAATGGGAGAACATAGTCATATGTGAAACTTTGAACACCTCTATAATGCCATCTTGTTTTTTTTTTTTTGTAAGTGAAAATAAGTTACATTTTCCTCTACAGGGAATGCACTTAAAAATTTTCTGGAAGTTTTTGTTTTCAATAGGCTTAATGCACAACTTCTATTTATTATAAAAAAATAAATACAAATTATACAATGTGCTAGATCTCTTGCACAGGCCACATTTTATGGTTTACTTTTTTCCATCATGTTAAATTCAGCAAATAAACAGTCCTTGAGTGTTAGAATGAGCAGAAATGTGTTCTGTGTAGAGGATGTGTTAACTTACAGTATATAACACCAATATGAGATTGTTTGACATCCCATTCCAAAACCATGGGCATTAATATGAAATTTGGCCTCCCTTTGCAGCTATAACAGCCTCCATTATTTTGAGAGGGCTTTCTACACTTTTGGAGAGTGTTTGTGGAAATTTGAGCTCATTCAGTCAAAAGAGCATTTGTGAGGTCAGACACTGATATTGGACAAGAAGGCCTGGCCAACATGACGTTCCAATTCATCCCAATTTTTGTTGTTTTTTTAAGGTTTAATTCAGAGTTCATTTACAGTTTGTTAATTTCAAATGTGTGGGTGGGGATGGACACAGGGGGCCTGGATTATTTCACAACCTCTGTTACAGGCACATATGTCCTTTGTAAATATCTTGAATGTATCATGTTATACAGACAAAGGGATGTTATCAAAAATAAAAAAAAAATCTTGACAGGAGTTCAGTACAGGCTAAATAACCAGAGCTGATTGCAATCTTTTTACCCCAAACCTCAGAGAGCCCAGTACACTTGTTAATGCAGATCAATATTAACCTTCTGCTTTGGATCTTTATCACTGTTACACACAATCATTCGATGCATTCTAGTTTTTACTGGTCTTTTTTGCATCGGACAAACTGAAATATCTGTTTACAGAATCAGCTCTTGCCTGTGCTTCAGGTTTAATTTCCCTCAGTTCCTTCAGTTTCTGAACCCAGTCATGATCTCCCGTTTCCTCAGCTCTAGGGATTAAAAAGTCCAGGGACTTAATAATGAAGGCGGAGTCTGGTTTTAAGGCAATCTGAGACAGATCCATTATGGTGATGCAGGCCTCTTCCAACAGTTGGGTCTTTTCTATTTCAATCTCGCTCAGTTCTTCTTTCAGTCTGTCTTCTACACTCATTTCCTTCTTTTTCTGTTTCTTGTTCCTTTCATGGTCCTTTTTGACATTCACAAATGACAATGAGCCTAGACTGATATCTTCTGCTGACTCATCAGCTCTCTCATATTGTTTTATCAGGTCAGTATACGTCATTTTGATCTCTTCCCTCTTTATAACATATTTCTTGTTCTCTCTGATGTGTTTACTGTGGTGACACTTCCCTGAACACACAGTGCAGCGCCCATCTTTCATGACTTCACACCATGCAGGGTTGAAGGCACACCAGCAGCTGTACTCGTGACAGTTCTCCTGACAGACGGAGCAACAGGTTGCCTTTCTGTCCCACCATGAAGCGTTTTCAATGGTCACTTTTTCTTTGTGACTCCTGGTGACAGTAAAAGAAAAGTTTTCATTTCTCTCAATGTTTTCCTGGTTTTGTTTGAGGGCTTCCTGAATCTGAGTCAGTTCTACATGTTTGAGCTCCTTGAATTCAATGCGTTCCTCCAGATTAGAAACACAGGCTTTCAGTCGTTTGTTCTCTGTCAGAACTCTTTCTGTCTTTGCTAAGCTTTTTCTGATCTGGTCTTCCAGAGATGTGAAGAAATCTCTTAAACTTTCCTCTGTGAGCTCCCAGGCATAATGATATAATCTCTGACCTCTCATGGTCTGCTCAGCTTGACGATTGTTGAATAAGAAATAAACAGGATCAGATCCGTTTTCTTTCCTGCAAGGAATCTTCGCTTTCTTGACGGCATTAATGACATTTGTTGGGGTTCCTCCATCTGAGTGTGTCATAAAAATCACAATGTTCTCCTCTATGTCTTCACCAAATAGAGACAGAATTGCATCAAATATGTAATGCTCCTTGTCAGAGAGACGATTCTCAGTTGCTTTCACTACCAGACACACTGCATCTATTTCCTTCACTCCAGTGTCTTTTTCAAATAGTTTCAACAAGTTTTCCGCAATCTTCTTGTCATATTCTGGCCCTCTGGTGTCTCCATAACCTGGAGTGTCAATGATGGTAACTGCGATAGGGTTGCCCTGGACAGAGACCTCATAGACTGTGACTGCAGTTGTTTGAGTTTGTGATTGATCTGCTGTTTCTGCTGTTCCAGGTTCAGTTTGATTCACTCCTTCTTCTTCTGTGATCTCAAACCAAACATCATCATTGATCTTCACTCCCAGTATGTAATTCACTATGGCGTTGATCAGAGTGGTTTTGCCTGTTCCAGTTTGTCCCACCATCAGAATGATTTTGTTTTTCATGTTCATGTCTCGCCGACCAAATGTCCATTTTCTGATTTCACCACTCTCATCTACATCACTTCTGGTTGTAAGTAGACGATATCGTGCTGGTTTTCCTTCACTGATTAACTGACTGTTCTGAATTAAGTCACTGATGCTCAAAGACGTGTCTTGTGATCTGCTGAATTCAAAAAAAGAGATACAGTTTATTAAGAGAAAATGATGTGTTTACATTGTTTCACAGTTGTTATTTCATATTGAACAGAACTTAATTCTTGATAAAAAATTATTCTTGATTAAAATGTGCAGAAGTGTGTTCTCTGTAAAGGATGTGTTAACTTGCTTTCACTCAGCTCTCAAATAGAAAACAATGCATGGTACTGGGTAACCACAAATAAGTGGTGGACGAAGTACACAAATCATGTACTTGAGTTAAAGTAGAGATACCCAAGGTAAAATATTACTCCAGTAAAAGTAGAAGTTCCTCCCTTTAGACCTCCACTTGAGTATTTGCCTTCAAATGTACTTAAGTATCGAAAGTGAAAGTACTTAAAGATGAATGATGACTCTAATGTCCTATTATCATTTTTATAACAAGACTCTTGCTTTATCAACTCATTTTAGGTGAAAATACTCCAGTGTCACTCTTGGTAAACCAGTCTTTTAATAGAATGTCATTAATTAGTGATGCTGATGTCTATTCAAATTATCATAAGCACAAAACACTGAAGGCAAACAGTTTCCATTAGGTAGAACCGAGTGGCTCTGAAATCACTTTCTGCGAACAAGCAAAGTTTCAGTTTAAGATTTATTTGCAACTTAGTTCAAACAAAGTTTATATTTACTAAAAAATTTACTATAAAATGAAACAGTGTTCGTATATAAATTCAGAAAAAAGACCCGTCAGTCACAACTGCATGTGTGTACATATTTCTATATTGTGGTCTATTTACACAAAGTTAGGTTAGTTCATCATTTATGTTGAATAGACACTCCCAAACTTTTACGCTGCTGCACTGACGTTGAACCGTGTGCTTGCACTGGGTCGGTATGACCAACAGCTCAAAACAAGCTCAAAACAAAGTGACCGCTGTGCCCTGATTGGTGTTCTTGCTTTGCGCTTCTTACATTTTGACATGTTACATTTTTATACACACATGAGCCAAAAGGAATGACCGATTTCGCATAATGTAGTGGAGTAAAAAGCAAGATATCTGACTTTGAAATGTAGTGGAGTGAAAGTAAAAAGTCACCAAAAATGGAAATACTTCAGTTCACTTCAAGTATAGTAACGAATTACATTTACTTCATTACCGTCCACCACTGCCAAAAATCAGATCAACTTACATAATCAAAGTCCCACAAGGCTCAATCCTGGGTCCAGTTTTATTTTAAAATTACATTAGTGATCTCACTGCCTAAGCCTTAGACTACAAAGTGCACTTGTATGCAGATGACATAATTTTATACTGTTCTGTGGAATCTGCTCATGCAGCAATAGACAAACTCCAGTACTCATTTAACGCCTTACAGAATTCTCTGTACAAGCACAAATTAGTTTTAAATGCTGAGAAAACTAAGTATATGCCGTTCTCCAGATCAGTAAATGCAGACAGAGGCTCGGATTCCTATATCTAAATAAATCCTGTCTGCCTGTATATGTCAGAAAAGCCTTATCATCAGTACTGGACTACATTGATATAGTCTATAAACATGCATCTGCCAGTGCCCTCAAACCACTGGACGCAATCTATCACTCCACTTTGTGAAAGTCTGGGAAAATCTGCTTTTAGCAGCAGAGCACCAGCTGGATTCTTCATTGCAGGAGTCTCTAAAACTCATTCGCTGGCGTCACTCAGTCATTTTAGACTTTTAGTCTCTAACCACCTTCAGACATCCTGGAACTGTTTTAGTTGAGTTTATCTTTTCCTTTCTCCTTTTTATTTATTTATTTACAAACCCAATTGCAAAAACTTGGGACGCTGTGTAAAATGTAAATAAATGTAAATAAAAACAGAATGCAATGATTTTCACATCTCACAGACCCATATTTTATTCACAATATGTTGTGAAAGTGAGACATTTTACCATTTCATGAAAACCATTAACTCATTTATAACTTGATGGCAGCAACGCATCTCAAAAAAGTTGGGACAGGGACAACAAAAGGCTGGAAAAGTAACCAACTTAGTTTAACTAAGCAGACAGAATCCAAATGTTAAACCTCATCAAATGTGTTTACTTACCTGTGAGCCATAATGATGACGATGGTGTAGTTTAATACAGACGTCTCAGAAGACTCACAGCTGAATGACCTGTTAACGTCCATTAGACAAAGCATATGAAAAAACAGAGTCAATGTATTCAGATTAGTCATCAACACAATTGAGTTACAGTCTCTGGTTACTAATGCAAATAATAATGAAAATAATAACAGTATGTTATTTTTCAAGATGCATATCAAACAAACTTCATATCTGTCAAGCATTTTTCTGGAAAGATGTTTTTCTTGAATATATATGCTACTCTGTATAGCTCTACTAATATCAACATCACATAACATTTTTCTTACCAAGCAAAGTGACAGTGAAAATGCAATTTCAACATACCTGTGTTGTGATAATGCTCCTCTATCAGGGATAATATGCTGATATTTCAATTTCTCTGTTAGTTTAAAATATAATACTTTGAAACATGTTGATGTTTTATTCAGAAATCCTTAACCAGCAGAACTTCTTTGTTAACTGATGAAAGGCTCCAGTGTAACTGAGGTAGAGTCATAAGTCATTTGGAGGAAGGGGACACAGTCAGCACTCCAGCCAATGAAATCTGCTGTTTAAGCTGTGGCTAGACATAAAACCATATAAGGTTATATACAATGTTGGGTGCATGTATATTAGTTGTTCCTGTGGCCTCTTAAACTTTTGAACATGCAAATATCACATGGATTTAGTAATAATTTATACTCAATTGCTTTTTTCATAATGCTACTAAAATAATATGCAAATTGTTGCAGCATTAACAGCCATCAACTGCCTGAGGTTAAAGAAGTCACTCAAACCACTTCCTTCACTCTCATTTGTGAAAACATCACATGGTTTGTATGCAGTTATCCACTTTCCCACACTCGCAGGATGATGGTTAAACCATAGTAGACTTCATTTAAATTTCAGTGACTTATTTCATAGATTTTACAGCTAAATAACAAAGCATGCGCTTAGCATTTCCAAATACTGCATCATTGTTTCTGTGCAAGCTTTAACACAGCCATGTTTACAAATCCTGGAATAACTCAGTACACATTGATTTCAAATGTGCTGGTCAAACACTGCACATGTCCAACTGTCCAACTGTCCATTTTCTGTCTTTGCCTTTTTCGTCTAGATTACTTCAGGTTGGCCCTCACTGATTAACTGACCGCTCTGGATTAAATCACTGACAGTCCAAGACGTCTCTTGTGATCTGCTAAATCCAATGAAGAGATACATTTTATGACAATTTGTGTTCACACTGTTCCTCAACTGCTTCCGCCAGCACTGAACTTTATTATTTAAAAAGAAGCATTTCTTTCATCTGTTCTGGGTTAAAATTGCTTTTTGCTGCCACTTAAGTGTGCAAAAAGCTATGTTCACAGAGCACATGAGGCTTTACTTTCAATAATTTGTCAATAGCTTCTTTTTCCAATTATCATTTTGTTTAACTGTCTAAGCAAACTGACATCAAATTTAAAAATGTCAGTTGTTTTTTTCCCCTCATTTGTTTACTCACCTGTGTGCCCTGAAGTTCATCTGCTGGTGTTTGATACAAAGAATAAGATGTTGGCCAGCTGAGAAACCTACTAACAATTTTAAAATGTAGATTTCATGTTCTGAAATATGTTGAAGAACATATTAAAAATATATTTTCAGTTTTTTTAACAATGCAAAAAATAGTTTCTGAATTCACATTAATAATAATTAATGTGATAATAATAATAATAATAAAAATAATAATAATAATGATAATAATAATAATAATAATAATAATAATATAATTAATAATAATAATAATAATAATAATAATGGTCTGGTGAAATGTTAAAAGATATCCTTTAACACAGTGTTTCTTAACCCTGGTCCTCGAGGCCACTGTCCTGCACATTTTAGTGCTTTTTTTGCTGTAACACATCCACAACAACTCAACAGACCCTTTTCACAAGAAACGGAAGTGAGTAAACTGGGTAAAACCAGTTCTGCTGTTGCCTTACGGACAGTTATTAACCTCAGAAATACAGGCGTTCCTATCACTTCAGCTCACCACAGAAAGGCGTGTCACTTTATCTTTGTCATAGTTACCAAGAATGGAATTGGTGAACCAAACACACAACAATGTGGGCGTCCAAACTAAATAAAGAATATAAACGCTTCATGGAAAAATTCCTTCACAGCTATCAGGGTACATTAATATCAGCCAGCTGACATCTTCAGAGTGATAAACTAATGGGTGGTGAAAATAACTAACCAAAACGCTGGATCAGCCACATTAGCTGGAGATGTTGAAGCAGCTTGCTAACAATAAACTAGTTAGCAAAGAGCTAAACATGCACACATACCGGCGTGTCGGGTCGTCAGGGTCTGTAGCACCACAAACACCGGAATGAACATCTACTCCCCGCTGAGCGCTCGATCTCTCAGACACCGACAGCTTTAGAGGGAGAAAATGAAAACTGTTCCTCTGAAAGCGGCTGTAGCAGCAACTTTAAGGCACAAACTGCATTCAGCGTAACGTTAGTCAGCAGCGCTGAAATGCAGACAGAGTTTATTCCTTTATTAACAGCACAAACCCATTTTCCTCTGCTCATCAGCTGACAAACCAATGAAACTGAGCTAAGACTGTTTTTGCTTCAGGCTCGAACACTTAAGTCAGCTGTACATTCTCTACATGTCATCGTGGTTATGGTTATTGCTTCAGTGGAAGCAGTGTTACCTTCAACGACTACTTCCAACAGAATAAATACGGAAATGTGAAAAGGGCCTATAATGGGCTGGTAATGAGCTGATTAGTTGGATTAGAGTTGGGAGCAGAGAAAACACTAAAAAGTGCCGAGCAGTGGGCCTCCAGGACCAGAGCTGAGAAACACTGCTTTAACATGCCTGTCTTATAGGAATGGCCCCCTAGGAGTAAAATGAAGAATGACTGTTAATCCTACAGTGATTTAGTCTAAAATATAAAGAATGTAAAGACTTACACAGCCAAATAAGAACAGCTTAATTTACGGCTCATAGCAGGTGTATAAATGACAAAGGTGGGAAGTGGCACTCCAGCTAACGAAATTTGCCTCGCAAGTCGGAGTTAGATACAAGTTATATTCAGTATCTATTTGTGTGTGTTTCTGCTTTCCTCATTAGGACTCTAGGATCTAAACATATAAAATATCACGTTGATTTGTTGAATTCAGCTGTAGCAAAAAATGTACTTAATTGCTAATGTTTTTATTCATGAAAAAAAAAAATCAGAAGACTTCTGTAGTCAGTAATACCCACATTTTCGTGGAACACTTTGCTGAGCTCTTCAGTTAAAAGTTTGGGTACAATTTGTTCTTTCAGACACTGGAATAGTTTTCCAGAGGAAGGAATTTGTGGTGATTCGATATCAGCATAGTGGTGTTTGCAGATTTTCCCAGGCGCCAGGATTACCAGAAACCCCTCAAGAAAGCTAAGGTAACCTGAGCTGCTTTTTATTGTGTTGACTCAGTTATGAAAAGCTAGATAAACCTTTTTTTAGTAAAGCTCTGGTAAGAAATTCAGTCTGTCTGAGTCTTAACTCTGTACTGTTAAGGCTTTTACAGACTGAGCGTGATTTATTTGTGCCACTGGTTCAGGTGTCAATAAATGAATCCAAGCATGTGTATAACTGATGTTATCTTGCATACTACATGCAATTTTTGGATCTTTGCCATCTTTGTGAGCTTTCGCTGGTGTTTCACTAATGTTATGATACTCTTACAACAGTCTCAAAATGAGAAATATAGGTATATTGAAGAGATCATTTAAGATGATTTAACTCGCCAAGTCATCTTTTGCATTGTACACAGTTTAGGAGGCCAGAGCCTTAATTAATTTGAAAAACATGCATTCAGATGGCCTCATTCCTGTCTTTTGTCCAGATCCCCACAATCACTAAGTCCACCCCTGCTAATGTGTGTCTCATTCTGTAGAGTGTAATGGTTGTAGTGTCAATTATGTGTTATATAGTTATGTTTTTTACTGTATTCAGTGGTTCATGCCTTTAACTATGCATTTTAGGTCAACAAGTTTTCAGCTCCAGTGAGAAACCCAATGAGACGTGTAGGGATTTTTGTCCATGGTGATCAACCATACACAGCAGACACAGCACATATTTGAGAAATGATGAAAAATGAATTTGTCATCACCCACGTATCTATGATCCTCTCAGGTTGATAACTTCACAGCTTTTATGTGGTGAATGCACTAGCCACTTATTTTCATTGCAGTGTTCAACAAATGAAGAAGCATTCACTCCATAAGGGCGTTTTCTACCGCACATTCAAAAACAAGACTGAGTTTTAGGGATTTACTAAGTGAAGGCAGAGGTTTCTCAGGAAGATTCAGGCAAAAAGACACAGCCCAGCCTACCAATGCAAAGAAATCCATGACACGGTTTCTTTTCCACGAAAAAAGACATAACAGCTCAGAGTTTGAAAGTGAGTTTTTCATTCATTTTATC